CAGGAAATTAGAAAATGCTGTTAATCGGGCTCTCCTCTCCCCGCCACCCCTGCTCTCCCCAGTCCCAAGAGCCAGTGTTTAGGCTCTTCACAGCCCACCAAAGCGAGCCCTCTGTAGAGGCGCCACCACCTGGCAAGTCATGAAGCTGTCTGGGCTGAAAGACAGGCGTGCACACCTTAGCCTGACCTTGATCTTGTGAGTTTCCATGGATGAGAAAATCAAGCATGTCACACTTGCAGCCAGCGGGCCGCAAGCCTCGTTTAAACATGCCGCGAGTTTGACATGTTTGCAAGCCAACCTGAGATAAGTTCTATTCACGTGGCAATTTTACTTTTCCTTTGAGAAATTTCTTCGAGCTCTCTCTGCACCTTCATTTTTCCATCTTAAAACTACAAGTGCCCTTGCCCTAACCAGTTTGGTTCAGTGGATAGAGCATCGGCCTGCAGACTGAAGGGTCCTAGGTTCGATTCCGGTCAAGGGCATGTACCTTGGTTGCAGGCATATCCCCAGTGGGGGATGTGAAGGAGGCAACTGATTGATGTTCCTCTCATCGATGTTTCAAACACTCTATCCCTCTCCCTTTCCCTTCCTCTCTATAAAAAATCAATAAAATATATTAAAAAAAAAAACTACAAGTGCCCTTGAAAATTTTCCATACATAGTGTATTTCAATTCTCTGACCTCTCTCCCCACATGAGGGTGTGGAGAGAGGTCAGAGAACTGAAATACACTACTCCTCCCACCCCCATTTGCAATGAATTGTCATTTTTTGCTTCCCATTCAAAAGGAGCAACAAAATCCCACCCATGTAATCCTCTTATTTCCTGCAGAAATCTTCTAGACCCACATGTGCTCTGTCCCCAACACAGTGACCGCGCTCATTAACTGGCCACCTGCATGTGCTGGAACTTCAGGGCCGTGTCCAGCTGAGACCAAAGGAGAAACGGCAGGAGGTGTCCCCAGTGTGGCCTGAATGCTGTGGTGGCAGGATTTGGGCCTCATTTGACTAATTGCTCCCTGGAGCTGGGGTCCCTGCCAGAGCTGCCTCCGTCAACAGAAGTTTCATCCAGACAAAGAGGTCCATCACCTGAAACATCGCCTGGGGATTTCTGCCCCTGGGAGATGCTACCATGAACCTGGCATTTCTGTTTTGCAGTCTGGCCAGGGTCTTAGCTGCACTAAAGCATTGCGTGGGAGGTGAGGGGACACACGGGTGGGTCCCTCATGTATTGGCCTTGCTCTTCCTCCTCCTGCAACAACGCATGGGGCTCCTTCTCTCTGCCAGCCCTGGCCTCTACATGCCTCACTTCTTTCCCAGGAGTGTCTCTGTGTTCTCAGTCTCGGTGAAAAAAATGTGTGACTGTTACACAACAGGATTGTGATTGCTGTCATAAACTGGGTAGTGACTTTGTGGACTTTCAATAATTTCATTACGTTTCCATCACTACCCTCCCAAGAAGTTGCAAGGTGCATCCAACATCCCTTCCCACACACCCTCGCTTGGGGAGAGAGGTCAGAGAACTGAAATACACTGTGTATGGAAAATTTTAAATCATTTGATCTTGAAAACCTCCCATCTAATGGAAGTAGCAGTACTCAAAGATTTTTTTATAGGACTTTTTTTTTTTAGAGCATGTTGAGGACTGAGGTGGGAATGAATGAGGAATGTATAGATTTAATTTTGCTTAAAAGAGGCAGGAGGGTTTCAAGATAAAGAGAACAAATGCTTGGAGCAAAAATGAGCTTGAGTTTTATTGAACCAAGAAGACTAAAAAAAAATGTCTGGAACACTCAGGAAATCGTTATCAAGGCTCGGCTCAGTGCTCCTGGGACCCGTTGTTAGTTTATAACATTCAGAGCTGAGGAGCCGTGTGTGCTGGTGTGGGCTGTCGGAGCCTCCGCCTCCAGGCTACCCTTCAGGACCAAACGGAATTCCTTCCCGTCTCTGCTCCACATGGGCACCAACAAGGATCTTCACCCCATTATATTGGGGTATCAGAAAGATGGTGCTAAACCCTTCCAGAACAAACCAATCAACCATCTTTAAGGAGAGAGCAAAGGTGACACTTTCAGGTGCCAGCTTGCCATCGCTGATGTCATCTCCAATGGAAGCAACACAGCTTAGGCAGCACCGAAAATGGACCACTGTCTCACTAGAAATGTGGTATCACGAGGAAGCACGGCATTCAGTTGTCTGCACACGGCCACCTAAGTTATCTGTAGCTCAAGTATAACATGATCTTTTAAACTCCCTTCTAGGTAGAGTTTCAGTAGCATCCCACAGTTTTGATATGCCATGTTTTCATTATCATTTAGTTCAAAATACATTCTAATTTCCGTGAGATTTCTTTCTGGACACATGGGTAACTTGGGAATTCGAACCATACTGCTTGATTTCCAAACATTCTGAGATTTCCTCATTTTCCTCTTGTTCTTTCTTTTTTAAATATATTGTTATTGATTTTTAGAGAGAGGAGAAGGGAGAGGGAGAGAGAGAAGCGTCGATGTGAGAGGGAAACATTGATTGGTTGCCTCCTGCACACACCCCAACGGGGGATCCAAACCCACAAGCTGGGATGTGGGCTGACTGGGAATCGCACCTCAGCCTTTCGGTGCCTGGGAGGATGCTCAACCAACCGAGCCACGCCAGCCAGGGCTCGTCTTGCTCTTGATTTCTTGCTTAATTCCGCTCTGGACAGAAAACACCCTGCACAATTTCAAGTCTTTGCACTTTGTCGAGGTTGGCTTTATGACCCAGGGAGGGTCGTTTCGGTGAATGTTCTATGTGCACTTGGAAAGGACGCACGGCACCCTGTGACTGTTGGGGAAAGAGCCCTGTGTGTGTCCATGAGGCCAAGTGTGTTAACTGCGTTGCTCACATCTCCTGTCCCTGAGTGATTCTTTGTTGTTTATCAGTTATTGGAGAGGTGCTTTTAAATCTCCAGCTGTGGTTGTGAATTTGCTATTTCTCATTTTAGTTTTGTCAGCCCTTATGTGTATTTTGAAGCTGTATTATTAGTGCACACTAACTTAGAATCGTTGAATCTTACGAAAGCTCTCTCTTCCTCTCTAGCAAAGTGTCTTGCCTGAAAGTCTCTGATATCTGGTGTTAAAATAGCCATGCAGGCTTTTGTTGATTTTGGTTTGCATCCTGTATCTTTTTCCATCCTTTCAGTTTGACCTTTCCTGTGCCCTTATGCTTGCAAGCAGCACTTAGTTGGGGTTTGGCTTTTACTGGGCGATGGCTCTCTTGTATTGAAGGTGTTCCATTTGCCTTGGCGAGCCTGCGGAAAACTCTGTTTGGCTCTGCAACCTTTTGGCTTTGGCCTAATTTCTCTTGAACTGTCCACTAAGAATTAGCAAATGCCTAGGGAAGAAGCAGTCCAGGGGGTCAGGCCCATTGCTCTGTGACCCCCCCAGGCTTGGCCCCTCAGTTCCTGGGTGTCTCAATAGCACTGTCCAATTTCTGTCTTCCCAGACTGCTGCAGGTCACGCTCCCATCCTTACATCTGAGTTTGTAATCCCTGGTCTGTGTGTGTACCAGCCTGAGAGAACTCCGTATGAGCAGACAGGATGTCCTTCCTCTCTCCCTGGCATGCCAGAGAAGCCCAGTCCATGTGAAAATGCTCCTGATGGGTTTTTAGGGCAGTGAATCTGTTCTGCAGGATACAGGGCATTATACTTGTGTCAAAACCCATAGAACTGTACCGTGGGAAGAGTGACGGCTAATGTAAACTATGGACTTCAGTTAAAAATAATCTATTAATCTTGTTTCGTCCGTTGCAACACATATGTCAGACCAAAGCAAGATGTTAATAATAGGGGACACTGTGAGGCTGGGTGTGTGGGAACTCTCCCCATTTTCTGTAAAGCTAAAACTGCTCTCAAAAGAAAGTCTATTCAAAAAAATAAATACCAATGCTACTTATGCAGAGGGGTAGAAGAGGGCAACTAAGTCCAGCAAAATAAGTCTCTCGTATGAAATTCAGGTCGGCAGACAAGAGCAGAAACACTTACCCCTGGATGCCCCCGACAGCACCACTTTGGGAGGCAGCAGGAAACGAAGTCCCTCCTGTCAGGGAGTGACTAAAACACCCTTAAGGTGGCGGCTGGGCTGCCTTCCACAGTCTTGTTCGAGGTACTGGCAGGACAGGAGGAAGTTCAAGTAATGGCCTGCAGAGGAAAACCAGGCTGATCCCGGTGTAGACTCCCAGTGGGGGAGCAGCAAATAGAGCCCCTGTGTCCCACTCTCTGGGACCTGGGGCCCCCACTCCACGCTGCCATGAGGATTTTCTAGGGCTGATGTTTTGTCTTGTTTTATTCTCCGCATCACGGGGAACCCACGTCCACTCCGCTCACATGTCCTAATGTGCTAGTTGGGTTTTTAAAGGGCCCTTTTCCTTTTCTGCATCTTTGTTACCTACCAGCCTGAAAAGGGACGAGATCTGTAGATTGTAAGCTCCATGAGAGCAGGGGACAGAGTTATTTCATTCACTGATACATAGGGTGGGACAACTGTAAACGTCCTTTTGCCCCTCCCGGTATGTACAGTAGATACTTCATGGATTGTTGTTAAAGAATCGGCTTCAAATCACCAAGTAGCGGAGAGGGGCAATGGGGCCTCCATTGTGGAGGGTATCTCTGAGCCACTCTTCAAGCAAACGCGCAGGTATTTCCGAGGCCCATCCACATCCGCGCATCCTCTGCCCCATGCCATCCCATCTCTCTTCCGGCTGCATGGCTGCATGGCTGCGGGCATGCTCAGTGAGCCCCCTGCTGGGAGCCGCGGGCACTGCAAGCTGACCCATCGCTCTTGCCTGTTCTCACGGTGGGGAAAGGCCAGGGAGAGGTCAGCCCAGCTCCCCTGCAACACCTCTTGGCCTGGGTCGAGCTGGACGGTGACCTAGACTCCCTCGGAGCGGATGCTCCCTGGAAAATGAAAGTGTGTTTTGCTTTTTTGATGAATGGATTTGGTAAAATGTTTTCTTACTTTTTCCTAGACATCGCCTGGTGGTATTACCAGTATCAGAGAGGTAAAAAAGCTTAAACTAATTTGACTCCTTGGTCACATTACTTTCAAAGGAAGAGCTATTTAACTGAGTGTTCAGGTTTTCTAAGAAGTCTTCTCGCTCACCAACTTTCTGTGCCCCGTGTTCACAGACCCCACCTGCACGGAAACCGTTGGAAACGTCCTTTTAGAGACAACTTATGAGGAAAGCTCTGCTCCCCGAAGCATCGGATATGTTTTCCTCTCCTGGGCAATGAAACATATATAAGAGCTCAGCGCCAATTTGTGGCTCAAGTGTAGTAACTGCGTAGAACAAATGACCTGAATTTCTGTGTTCTCTTGGTCCCTGTGGTCTTGACCTCCTAATCGAATCCACATTTTCTGAGGCTGTTTTTCTTATTACTTTACCTCTTATTATTGTATTATATTTATTTCATATAATTGCTCCAATCCCTTTGTGCAACAAAGTGGAATGTGTTAAGCAAATAGTGAGGGAGCGAGAAGGTTAGGTAGACGGAGTGGGGTGAGGCAGGAGAAAGGCAGGCAGGTGTGAGGGTATGTACCACAGATCAGGAGCCAAAAGCTGAAACGCCTCCGGGGCCAGGAAGGCGGCATAGCTGACGTAGGTGAACCAGAGGGGACGGAGGGAGCCCTGGAGGGCACAGTCACTGCTCAGCTCCAGGAAACAATTGCCTTGTGACAACTCGAGACCGAAGCTTCCGATAATCCCATTTCCCGAGGGAAATCAGAAACCCAAACGTGCACATGAATCCCTCATCTTTAAATCTTGGCAATGCGTTCCAAAAAAAATTATAGCACATGTTATAGGCCGAACAAGACCTATCTCTGGGCTGTGTTCACGCCAAGGGACACCACTTTGTAACCTCAAAACTGCTTGGGTGGGTATGAAGTCCAGCCAGAGACTGCAGGCTGGAAAAACTATTTTTCCGTCCAGGGAGAAGGAGATGGTCATGGCCATGGTTATGGGCCTGACAGAGGAGGCGCCTCACCAGGGAGAAGACCAAAGGCGTGGGTCCTCCTGCTCCTCATAGTCTAAGGCTCTGACTTGTACACAGGCCAGAGCTTGCTGGGGGCAGACCCACTGGAAGGCTGGCTACAAGCCCATTTCCAATTTGCGCTCAAGGGAAGCAGAAGCTGTTGCAGAGGCACGTGGAAGCGAGATCTATACCAGAGGCCTGGCCGGCTGGACTCTGGGTCCAGGTCTGTCACCAGCTGTCGATGACAGCAGGCCTGGGATTCAGGAGAAGCCACTTAATGGAAGAGGTCACCTGTGCCAGCTCTTCACCTGGGCTCCGTGGGGGTGAGAGATATAGGAAGTCACTGAGAGAACTCAAGGCACAATGCCATGCGGCAGAGCCTCCCCTTTTCTGAGGGCCCGAAGCTTTCATCCCACACTCGGAAGAGCTGTGACCCCCAAAATGTAAGGACCACTTCCTCTGCATCATCTTCTCCAGCCTCTCCTTCTGCATCCTCTGCAGTTGGTTATTCGATCTGGTTTTCGCTACCCCCAGTGAGAGATGGTGCATCGCTTTCTAAGGTGCTCCTGCTTAGAGAACTCTTTATGTGTCAGAACACCCATCTCCCTGATGTTTGCGTGGAGAGGGCAATGGCCCCCCACTCCCCACCACACACAGGGTTTAGTGGCTTACGGGCATGAAAACATTTTACAAACTAAAAGTACTTGACAAACAGGTTTGCTCATCTCTAGGTTAATTTTCTACCATCCACGCTCAATCTTGGGAACTGGCTCGTCATTATTTTTAATAACAAAAATAATAACAACAAGCAACCTTTGGCCTCAGAGACTCTTAACAAACCTCCAAAGAAACCATCAAGCAGGCCCCTCACCTACTAATGCTGTTTCCTCTTCCTCCACCCAGGGACTCTCCGGGGCCAACAGGAGGGTGCAAAAACCCCTGAGGCCCCTTCCCAGTGTCTGCAGAGTGTACGTACAGTGGCCAAGCCACGAGGCATCCCAGGAAAGGGAGGAGAGAGCTGGCGTGAGACACAGGAATGCCTCCCCGCTCCAAGGTTGCCTCAAGTGTAGGCCAATTAGTCGTTTCCATTTGCCCGTCATGGCACAAGGAGGGTCACACTCGGCACAGATTTACAAAGAAAGAGATTAAAGTTGAAAATAGCACATTAGTGGGGGAAAGGATGATTCCCTAAAACTTTTGCTTCTATGTGTGTGTATGCTGACTGGATTGCTGTGTGAACTCGAGTTCTTACTAATTAACAGTAAGAGAACCGAGAGCCGCGGGTTTAAGCCCCGCCTGCCCGTGTGCAGGCTGCTTCCAGCATCTCCAGTCCAGAGACATGGATTTCCCTCCATGGCTGCTGTCACCGCAGCCTGACAAGGAGAGGGTGGCGGGAAAGGAAAATAAAACAAAAGCTCGCCAGGCGATGCCCGAATATTCAGGTGTTACAGAACCCGTTTGATATGGGAATCGATCCCGCTGCCCAGACAGCAAACTAATCATTTGTTAATAAAGTCCAGTTCTACCTTAATGGGTTTAATATTTGATATTTCAATAACTACTTAGTGCATTTTTAATAAAAGAGATGGCAGGCAAGTGCAGTTTCTGAGTCAGACTCTCTCAGACTCAGGAGGAATTCAGTCAGGAACTGAATAGAAAGAAGACGATCTTGTAAAAATATATTTTAGGCTTCTAGGTAAGATAAATGGGGAAAGGTATACTAGACACCTTCAAAAATACACCATTTCTTCCAAAAATACATTTGTATCTTCCTCACTTACATTTTAACATAACTTTTGCCTCTTTTCAATGTTAAATATCTGTGCGTTTTATAATTGACTTTTAGAGAGAGGGGAATGGAGAGAGAAAGAGAGAGAGATGAGATCGAAACATCGATTGGCTGCCTCCTGCATCCCCTACTGGGGATCAAGCCTGCAACCCGGGCACGAGCCCTGACCGGGAATCAAACCTTTCAGGACGACGCTCCAAACAACTGAGCCCACACCGGCCAGGGCTCTCTGTACATTTTTACGTAAAATTGCAATTGAATCTAATGCCAGGCGATTTAAACCAACAATTTGATTTGTATTTTAAAATGAGCTAAAGAAAATATGAGCATTCTGAATTAGATTTATGTGGGGGTTTGTTGTTCGTTTGTAATTGCTACTTGTTAGCTGCAAACATAATAACAATTAAAGGCTCTGTGAGAGTTACAAGGAAATTGGCCACTGTGGCCATGTTGTCTAAACAGAGGATCTTACTTACGTTGACTAATCTGTCCTGCTCCCAAGCAGGACAAGGTGATATGTATTGCCAGGCACATAAGAGAGATGATGACAAGGAATTGTCACCAAATTCCTCGGCCTCTCCCTTGGAAACCCAGCCAAACGCCCGTTCCCTTGGGGGAAGGTGCAAGATTCAAACTCACTTTGATGGATCCCTTTCCTCTTGAAATCCAAGTAGCAAAAGGAAAAGTGGTGCGAAGAGGCAGACACTGACTAGAGTGGTGCCCGCAGAGTCACGCACGGCTCACCTGTTGTCTCAGGGAGAAACCCCGCCCGTCCGCACTCTCCGTGGCCGCGGGATGTGCCAGGGTGGGTGTCCGTTCCCCGCAGCTGCCCACCTCGCCACTATTCTCGCCAGCCCAGACCTGCAGTCGTTCAATATATGGATTTGGTAACGCCTGCATGGCAACGATGGGCAGGAAAGGTTAGCTGGTAATTGATTCTTGATGGGAGTAAATTCATAGAAAGCATTCTGGCAGCGCCCAGAGGGAACACTCACTCACCCTTCTGGGATGGAAAGACGACGAGAGTTCCGCCTGTTTGGGTTTGTGATCCTTCGGCAGGAGGTGGGCAGAGCTCTCGCTTTAATCGACGGACACCTTTTACATCGCTGGTGCAAAATGAGATTGCACTGTGGTTAAACTGCCACTTAAAACAGCGATTTTGAGAGCCCGTCAATGCGTTAGAAGCTTTCATGTATAAAAAGTAGCTCCCATTTCAGCCCTGTTCCCATGATGTCAGGCCAGCTAGTAAATATTACAAAATGATACTGTAAAATACATCCCTATTTTTTAATTTATATTCATGCTGTAATTTGAACTTTTTGCTGGATCGTGCTAGCCTTTCTCTAGTTGTCCAAAATGGTGAGAGTTTACTCCATACTTTTATTTTTTTTAATTGATTTCATAGAGGAAGGGAGAAGGAGAGAGCTAGAAACATCAAAGATGAGAGAATCATTGATCAGCTGCCTCCTGCACGCCCCACACTGGGATCCAGTCCATAACCTGGGCCTGGGCCCTGACGGGGAATTGAACCGTGACCTCCTGGTTCAACGCTCAACCACTGAGCCACGCCAGCCGGGCTAATATATGCTTTTTTGATAGCCTTGTTTCCCTTTGCTGTTTGGAGGGTGTGGATCAATCTGCTCACTTACCTGTGTCTCTACTAGAATATTCCGATGTTCAGTGCGCAGCACATTGAATATGCAAAGAAATCATTTTAAAAGAAAGGGGAATGTTTCCATGTGGGCTTATTTTTAGCACCTCCGCTGTCAGCCTCACAGGGAACATGTTTCTCTCCAGCACCGAGCTCCTCCCCTGGGGTCTGACCTGGAGACGGTGGATGGTGGTGAGACAGACAGGGACCGGGCAAGGATCCAGGCAGGAAGGTCCTCTGCAGGGTGGTCCCGGCCCGTGGCCCTGTGTCCCGGGTCACGACCCTGGAGACAGCCCCGACTGGTCTGACAGCGACCCCCGGTCAGCATCCCAATGCCATCTCCTCCGGTTCCAGATAAGATTGAAGACGAGCTGGAGATGACCATGGTTTGCCACCGGCCTGAGGGCCTGGAGCAGCTGGAGGCCCAGACGAACTTCACCAAGAGGGAGCTGCAGGTCCTCTATCGGGGCTTCAAAAACGTAAGACCCTCGGCCCCCGGAGGCCCCGCCGGGCTCCCCTGGGGCTGAGCTCTCCCATCGGTGTCGCTGTGAAAGGAGGGAGGTCGGTTCTATAAAGTGCACGTGAGGCAAGGCCGCCTGGCAGGAAAGAAGGACTCCAGGCAGGATGGGTTCCAGCTCAGCATAACCCGTTCACACTCTATGGTTGGTGCCTCAGAAACAATGGGGTTTAGGGGCTGCTAACCCAGCTGGCAGCACTGATACATAAGCCTGAAAGCCAGCGTGTTCATTTACCATTTATTTCAGGTACTGAACCTCATGATAGTCTTGTTGGGAAGATCCTGTTAGGCCCATTTTACAGCGAAGGACACTGAGGGTCAGAGACTGACTCAAAGTCACAAAGCTTAGAAGGGGCAGAGCCAGGAACCAAACCCAGGTCCTTCTCCTCCCAGAGTCCAAACGCTTCCTCCTCCCAGCCCATTCTCTGAGGAAGTCTCATCATTCTGCAAAGCCACTTTGGTCCTAAGGTGGGGCTGCCCGGCCCCC